GCCGTGTAGTCATGACATTTCTGGCTGGTGAGCGCAGGCTGGCAGCCAGCACGGGCGGGCACGGGCTCTGCTGCCCCGCGCTGCCTCCTGCCTTACCAAACTTGGTGCGGGCTGCGGTGCCTGGGGAGCGCCGTGCGGGGCGGACATGCCAGCGATCCTGCTCTTCTGGAGCCGCGCGGAGAGGTACCGCTGCCCTCCCTTCCCCGGCAAACAAACTTTTCTGCCCTTCCTCGCTCCCCACGCCCGCCTCGCTCCCGGGTTTCCGGGCCCCGGGCTCCCTCCGTCTCTCAGCCCGGCTCTCGGGGCTCGTTTGCAGGGACGGGGTTCTTTCCCGTCCCAGCCGGGAGTCTGCAAAGGGGGGGGCTTCGTTTGCTTGCGGGAGCCACGGGACGAGCCAGGGAGCGCGGGCTGGGAGGATGATTCCCGTTATCCGGGGCAGGCAGCCGGGCGTGCCGGGGAGAGCTCGCCCGTGTGCCCGCAGGGGACCGTGCTGGCATCCCGGAGCCGCCCCGACGCCGGGGTGACGGGAGCCTTCGGGGTATCGGTGAAAGCGGCTGCACCAAGACAGCAAAGCGTTTGGGAGCCGGCTGCCGGGGAGGGGAGGGGAGGGGAGGCAGGGCTGCGAGAACAGCGCAGACACGTTTAACCTTGAGTCTTCCCGGGGAGGACAACCGGGTCTCGAGCAGCGAACGTGACTTTTCTCCGACTTCGCCGCGTCCCCGCTTTGCCCGTCTCTGATTTGTCTGCGGGGAAAGCGGCGCTGACACGGCGGAGACGTCAAGCCATTCGTTTCTGATGCAGCCCGGGGACCGCCAGGTCCCCGTCCTACCGGTCGGGCAGGGAGCCGTCGCGGTCTCCCGAGGGCGGGTCGTTGGGACGCGGGGTCCCGCCGCGCTCGGAGGCTGGCCTCCGGAGTTACGGGGCCGGCGCTTGCGTCGCTCAGTCCGAGGAAACGGCGAGAAACCAATTAGAGGAAAATTGCCGCTTGTCAAGTGACTTCTTCTTTGAATGGTTTCTTCCCCCGTGCGGGCCCGGGGAGGGGATTGCCGGAGCGCGCACAAAGGAGAGCGCGTCTACCCAGGACACCGGCTGCGATCTGAGCCGCGCTGCCTGTCCTCGGAGCAGAGTTCGGCACGGTGGTTCCCGCGGATGGGAAATGCCTCGTTCTCCCTCGACGCGCCGCTCCGCTCGCAGGTGTTGAGCCGAGCCCCTCGGCGCTGCTGGCCCGCGCCGCGAGCAAGCGAGCGAGCTCCTCTCTGCGTCCCGTCCGGTCCCGTCCCGCCGGCCAGGCCAGGCAGGGGTCTGTTTGGGTAGCCCTCAGCTCTGCAGGGGTGAAGCAGCTCGTTGCCAGCATTGATGTTTAAAATAAAGCTGGAGCCTTTAAAAATGACGGCCTGGACTCTGAATGCGTTCATGAAGTTTCGGTAAGTGGCTTCGCCTCCCCCCTGCCCCGCGTCCGCTCGGGGTCGCCGTGAGCGGTCCCCTGACACAGGCTCCCGTCGCGTGACGACCTGAGCGCGGGGAGCGCGGGATGGAAAATCTTACCCGGCCGTGCCGGGCGGCCCCCTTCCCTGACCGTATCGGCGAGGGATTAGATCAGAGGATTGCTATCCTGCTGGCTCACCGAGCCAGAGCTGATGCAGCCTGATGTCACGCTGGAGGCTGGAACAGAGGTTTTTAAGGGGAGATTAGTAACGGTCTCTTTATTGTTTTTGAGGTCTCCGGCGTGAAGGTGCCTGATCTTTCCCGGAGGGGGGCGATGGTGGCGGTGATGGATTTGTGACGGGGTCGGCTCGGGGGACCGCCCGGCTGCTCCAGATGGAGCGAGACGGGAACGTGACGGCGGAGGCACGGCACGCGCAGCTGGTCCCGGGGAGGTGGGAGGCAGCTCTCCGGGGACGGAGTCGTGTTTTACCAAGGCTCACATGAGCGCTGCGTCGGAGGCGCGCCGAGCCCACCGGCTGACCTCCCGGGTCCCGTAACGCTCATCATCGGCTCCGGGCTCCCTCCGGGAGGGGACAGGGATGGGGATGGGGATGGGGGAGTCTCTGCAGCCGCTGGCTCTCCGATGCTGTGCTGGAGAGGGAGAGGGAGAGAGAGAGGAACCTGCCTGAGCATGGGCAGTAGCCAGACAAAAGGTTCCCAGGCTGCTGCACGTTTTCCTCCTCCTCCTGTCTGCGCCTGAGCCCAGGAAAGCAGCCGCAAGGTGACTGGAAGGCAGCGGCGGTGCGTGCGCCAGGCTCCCGAGCTGTAAGTCCCATCCCTTAGGAGGAGAAGCCCAGTAGCTGGCTTTCTTCCTGGACGTGCCTGGCTCTGGGACCTCCAGCAAACACGGCGGGCGTTATGTTCGCACAGCTGACAGGAGAACATGTTGGCCAGGGACTCGCTTGTCCAAGGACGTCTGGCAGCTTTTGCTGCGGGCGGGTAGAAAGGAGCTCTGTGCAGTTTGCAGTTTGGTCCGAGTGTGCAACGCTTGTCGGGCGGGGGCGTCTGCCCTGGGCAGGGGTCAGGCCCCGGAGGGGAGAGCGCCATACAAGGGGGTCGGAAACAAGCAGCCCGGATAAGTAACACCCGCCTGGATAAGACCCGGGGCTTTCACGCTTCAGGGCACTGATGGAGCAGACGTCAGGGGTCAGGAAGAAATTTGCCTTCCGCACCACGTGGCTTTTGCTTGTGGGGCAGGAATTGCATCTTCTTCCGAAGCATTTGGGAAAGGCACTGCCAGGACACGGGGGTGGGAGCCCACTAGCCTGTTCTTTATGGGGGCTGCGGCGCTCCGCTCCTAGACCAGGACCCGCTGCGCCCGGCGCTGTATGAATGCAGAGATGGACCCTGCTCTGAATAGCTTGTACTGAGATGCTGAGCCCTGGGGCACACGAGGAAACAAGGGGAGGCTGGGCGGCGGAGGGGAGAGCGCAAAGGGAGTCTGGGAGTGGGAGTCGACGTCACGCCAGCGGGTAAGGCGGTGGGGATGGGGAGAACGGGCCGTGGAGAGCGAAGGCAAATGGTTCTGGGGAGAAGGGAGTGAGCGCAAAGGAAGCGAGCCTTGCAGCAGCATTTTGGCCAGCTGAGAGGGGTGCGGTGGTGTTGCTCAAGGCCGCGGAGTAGGATGTTGCACCACTGGCGACGCAGGAAGCAGAGCCCAGACCTTGCATCAGCTGGGAGCATGGAGCAGACAGCTGGATCCCCGAGGCCAGGGGGCATCGCTTTCCCGGAGCCGGGTCCAAAAGTTCGACTTAACTGTCGATGGCGTTCTGGTCCCCCTGGATGGGGAGAGACCCGGGTTGTATGTGCATCCATGGGCGTTGGAAGGCACCCGAGGATGCCAGAAGGATGCACCGCCCTGGCAAGGGGTCTCCCATGGTGCCGGCTGGATGTGCCGCTCGCTGGATCACTCCCTGCTGCCAACTCCACCGCCCAGGGGGAAATCACGGCTTCTGTGCAAGCATCCTCCCCGCCCCCTCGGGCACGCGAGGATGCTGCTTTCAAGGGAGGAGCGAGACCAGCTGCAAACGATGAGCCATTTCCGCCTCTCCCCTCGATCCTCGCTGCCACGCGCTTACGCCAGCCACCACTGGAAGAACCACTGCCTAGCCGTGTCTGCTGCCTGTGTCCAACGTGGAGGGAGCAGTTGTCCAGCCCGACACAGGCTGGGTCGCAGCGTATGGTGGCAGCGCTGGGATGGATGGGCAGACAGTGACGCCCTCCAAAGCCGTTGGGAGCCAGCTGATGCCTAGTGGGCAGGTCTCTGAAGGAGCCATGAGCGTCTCCCAGACCGTCGCACAACGCTGCCGTGAACGAGGGAGCTGCCGGACCAGCCTCGTGCTGGAGAAAGCCTCTACCTGACCCGAACCGGTGGCTGCTGTCGCTCTTTGTCACTGCGCTTGAGTGACAGGAAGAAAAACGCCCTAATTTTATATATACCGGGGTGTTCTCGAGGCTCTAGAGACGTCACCTCTGCTCCAAACACTTCCTCTCCAAGCGTGCAACAACCTAGAGAGGATGGGATGCAACGGGGGCAGATTAGCAAGCATCCTCCCACACGGCCTTGCTCGCTGCTTTGTTCACACCCCTTGGAGAGGAGAGCCGGGGGGTCACAGGCCTTCCGGGTGGGGTCTGCAAAGGAGGCGGGCAGCGGGCGCTGGCACAGAGGCACACGCAGAGAGTGGTTCTCCGTGTCACTTGGCGGGTGGCACCAGGGAGCTCGGGACCGATGGAGAAGCGAGGGTCTGGGCATGGTCGGAGCAGCGTGGCGGTGGGTGAGGCTGGGGTTTGCCCCGAGACGCTCTGGATAGGAGTGAAGTCAAGCGAGTTGCACTGAGAACAGCGGTTATGGGGGGCCTGCATGCAGGAGCTTGGCAGGGGGAACGGACGGGGTTTGGAGGTGCTGTGCTAGGGGCTCCGGGCACGTCCGGCCCCCACCTCCGTGCTGGCCGAGAGGGACCGAGCAGTGCCAGGCCCGCAAGGTGGTGGGATTGCCAGCCAGGATGGAGGAAGGATCGGGGCAGTTTGGGATGGGAGGAGCACCATTCTGGGCATTGGGAAGGGAGGCCTGAGCCTGCACGGTGGATCGCTTCTGTGCTGGGTCTGGGAGGGCAGCAAGGGCTGCCCCAGCTGCTCCCCCAGGACCGGTCCTTCTTGGTCCTCGGTAGCAGTGCTTGGGGAGCGCTGCTGTTGCCTCTTTCCCCATCCCTGGCATCACGTGCCCGCGGCTTTCCGATGCTTTAGTATAGGCACGGCCATGTCCCCGGCTCTTGGCCTGCCTGCGTCACGGGTGGAGCGAGTCCGGCGAGGCTGTTCTCTCGGCGGCAATTTATTGCCCCGTGTGCGGGCGCGAGAGTTAGCCGTCGCCTCGGGCCACCCGGTCTTCCCAGCTCCTGGCGGCGTTCCCTCTGAGCCAGAGATTCTCTAACGCCATCGACGCCAGGCTCGAGGCGCTTTTAAAAATAGCCTCCCACCATCACAAGATGTTTCTGTCTAACGGCTTCATCCCTTTGTCTTCTTCCAACACAAATTACAGCTCTTACGCGGCGAGAAGCACTTACCGCAGCTGAACATCAATCGCTCCCGGGAACAAAGCGCTTGAAGTTCTCCTAAGGTGAACGGCACGGCGCTCACGCCCCTGCTGCCTTTCCAGCCTCCGCTGGCGCGAGGCCGAGACGTCCGGCCCGAGGTGGTCTAAGAGTGATGTGGCTTGACCCTTAACGTCACACGCGCACGGCCGGGGGGTCTGCCCGCGCTGCAGGGCACTGCTAACGAGCTCGTGTGTGCCTATAGGCTGACCTGCTGCTGCTGTTTCTCCCCGCGTGGGGCTGGGGTGGAGATTCCCCTCCCGCCTCTCGTGGGTGGGGGAGAGCGGTCCTCGGCCACAGCTCCGCGTGGTCGTTCGGCATCCTCCTAACAATGCCCTTCGCTTGCCTGGCACTTCTCACCTGTACGTCTCGAGGCGCTGCCCCAAAGAGGGTGAGGGACACTGCCCGCTTGCTGCTGCCGGGGAGGGAGCCCAGAAAGGAGGAGCATCTCGCAGGGCTGGGAGCAGCACGGAGGCGCGTTGCCTCCTGGCGCCCTGCTCTCGGCTCCAGGCGCGCGGGCGTGCAGCGGGGTCTCAGGTCGGTCCCTCGGGGCAAAAGCGGTTCTTGGGGGAGTGAGCAGGGGGGGCGCTGAGCATGGCTGGCGGCGGGGTGACGGGGTGCAGCGTCTGGTGCCCGGCGCGTGCATTACAGAGCCCTGTCTGTCTGCTTTCAGGAATAAGTACTCGGCTGCGGGCAGCAACGCCGTCATGGGGAAGGACTATTACAAGATCCTGGGCATCCAGTCCGGGGCCAACGAGGACGAGATCAAGAAAGCCTATCGCAAAATGGCCCTGAAGTACCACCCCGACAAGAACAAGGACCCCAACGCGGAGGAGAAGTTCAAGGAGATCGCGGAGGCTTACGACGTGCTGAGCGACCCCAAGAAGCGGGCCGTCTACGATCAGTATGGGGAGGAAGGTAAGGGGCCGAGGGGCGGGCGGCTACGGCACTGAACCCGGTGCGGGGATCGCGCGGTGTCCCACTTCGGTGGCTCTCCCTGTGGCAAGCAGGGAAGCGCCGTTCTGCTGCAGCAAGCAGCACTTCTCCCGGGGCGTGGGCGGCGTGTCCGGAATTATCCCCGTGATTCATCCCTGCCTCCGAAACCAGGTTACTAGTCCAGAGCTGGGAAGAGCGAGCGTCGTCTTCCTGCCCTGCTTGTCAACTGCGGTGGCTAGATCTGGTTCTCTGGTGGCTGCCCCACGGAGGGTCCAAGCCACGTGTGGGCACGTGCCCCCATCTCCTGGGCGCAGCGGTAGGGGTGCCGTGACCGGTGTGGCTCGGTTCGCCCCGGTGCCGCCGCTCGCCCCCTGAGACCAGCGGCAGGAAGCCCGGTCGGGCCTTGCTCGTGGCCATCGTTAACACGAGGGCTCTGGTGGCCGGCCAGCCGGCCTGCCCGCCCGCCCTCCCTTCCCCCTGCTTGTTCAGCGGTGCTGTTTATATTCCAGTCCCCGCTGGTCTCTGCTCTGGTACGTCCTGACCTACATGTCCAGAAGCCTTTCCCAATTAAAGTAATAGGTTCTTGTTTTGAAACCAAGTCCCGGCTGTTGTCTCCCGGTTGGCAGGGGCCAAGGAGACGTTCCACCGCACACGGCCTTATTAGTCGAACGCGGAAGATTTCGCAACCCGATTTGCTGCAGAGCAAGAGAGCAGGGAATAGCATTTGCGTTTATCAGCAAAAGAGTTTAGCACTTGAAAAAGCCGCAGGCCTGGTACGAACAGCCAGCGTGGCTAGTGGGATGCATACCCCTCAGCAGGTGCACCGGCCCCTCCGGGGCATTGCCGCGAATGTGCAGGGGTCACCAATACCTCGGTGCCCTCCGGGGCGGGCGGGAAGCTCTCCGTGCTTCCTGCAGACTCCCTGCTCCACATCGTATGGGGATCCTTGCTGCTCTTGGTTGGAGCTGCATCTTCTCCCTGGAGGGCTAAACACAGCAGAAACTTGCCAGAAAAGTTGATAGCCTCTTTGAGACAGAGTGGCAGGGAAAGCATTCCCGTACAAGGCATCCACAGCTGGGGACGTGGGTGCTGATGGAGCTACACCCGTCGTCCAGGGCAGCTGAAGTTTGAGGTGGTCTGTGCCCACGCCCTCTGCACGTTGCACACACGCGTGGCTGAGCCCGTGAATTGCGTCACTAGTGCAGTGGATGAGTTGAAAGGCAGCTCCCATCCAGACAAAGCCTTTGAGCGTGGTTGGCAGTCGTGAGGGTGGATTCGAAGGCAGAGTCGGGGAGAATGCAACCAGTGCCCGCTGGAGCATTTGTGCGAGACCGGGCAGCCTGTGCCTTTGCCATTCAGAGCCTCTCCCAGCCCATCCTTCTCCACCGGTGCCCCTCCGAGGGGTTCAGGTGCTGTCCCGCAGGGGTTTGAACTGGCACAGGTGGGAAAGGAGCCCAGGACTGCTGCTTGGCCACAAGGGACAGAAGGCACCTGGGGACTTCGCTGCCAGCAGTAGCGGCATGGCCCTAGCAGAGGTGCCCTTGGGGCACAAGGACTGCAAGGTGCCACGCAAGGGCCTGGCAGAGCCGGATGTGGCTTCATCCTGGCGTTTGAGCCCCTTGTTGTCCAGGGTTGCTGAGAGCAGTTGGTACTAGCTTGGGGCCATCACGGGGAGGTTTAATACGTGCATCTCTCCAGTAATGTGCCACGGCTTGGGCCGAAGTAGGACATGGTCATCCATGGCTGGTAGCTGTTGTGGGTTAGGAGCTGTGCCCCAAGGAGGGGGCAGGACATTCATGACCCCCAAGCTGCAGTGGTTGGCACTGGGCATGCGCAGTGCCCGCTTGTCTGAGCCTGGCATGCCCTACGGTGGGCTGGTGCTCGCATGTTGCTGCAGCTCTTGGGTCATGCTTGGCCCTGGCACTTGTCTGAAAGCTTCAGGGGCAAATTCTCTGCTCCTTGAGGCTAAATCTGCCCCCATGGGCCCTGCTCTTGGGCAGAGAGAGGCAACTGAGATGCCAGGCTTAGCATCCACACCAAGCATCCATCAAGATGCAACCGAAAAGAGCAGCCATCGGGTCTGTCCTGCGAGCACCTCCGGCTGTTACCTGGTGTAGGGCTGGGAACATGTCGGCTCTCCTGAGCCAGCGCTCTCTTGTGTCTGGGGAGCTGGAAAGCGTCCCAAAGCCCATCCTGCTTTAAGCCTGTCTTGACCCCCTCGGTCAGCGATAGGCTTGTCAAGCACATGGCTACAGGAACAGAGCCCGGGAAGGCGGTTGCCTGCAGCCCTGCATGTGCCGCAGGTTGCTTTGGGGATCCCTTGTATTACAGGCAAGATCTGAATGCAGGGTGCAGTCGAGGAGGCGAGGAGGTCTTGGGGGAGAGTGGACCCTTGAGAAGCCTTTGCTTTAAGGAAGTCAGGTAGTTACTGGAAGAGAGAAATACCCAGTTTCTGTGACATTTTCCAGCCTCGCAAAGTACGAGCCAGGAGAGCGGGTTCTCCCCCACGTCGGGACTTTGCTGGGAGTTGGGGATTTTACGTCCTCTTCCTCGCATGCCTTCGACTGACCTCCCAGCGCAGACCTGTCCCTCGCAGTCCTGAACCCTGACTCTGTTTGCACAGCGCTGGGGCCCGGGGCCGTTCTCCCTCCCCCGTGCCTCTGCCTTTGTGCGGGTGGCCAGCATGTGGGTGCTGACCGCCACGCCATCCCGGCGAGAAAGTCCTGAGTAAGCAGTTGCTCGGGGAGTTGAGAGCTTTCCCTAACTCTCTCGACGCGCCTCTGCCGAGCCACGGCCGTCCGCGCGCTTGGGGCACCCGTTAGATCACAGCTGAAACAGGCTGGAAAGAAGTAATGTATTGCTGACATCTGCAATATAGTCAGGGTGGCATTAGGGACTGCGCATATCTGTAATTTGTGGGGCTAATTGAGTCTGAAAGTGCAAGCAACTGCCTAGTCCACGTGGTCACCGGGCTCCCTAATCGGTGCCCTGTTGCGGCATTTAGCCAACTAACGGGCTGAGCTGCTCTGTGCGATGGCGATGGCTGTGGCAGGTAGGCTCAGGAGTCTGGCGTGCATCTCTAAAGCAGATTCCCCCCACGCTCCCAGCCAGAAACCCGTGGCCCTTTCTCCTGGTGCAAACACTGTTGTCTGGACCCCGTTGCCTCGTGGAGTGGC